GGTACACTCTGTTGTACTGAGTACCCACCCCATGCTCCTAGGCTCTGCTCTCCTGGGCTGGCACATCAGCAAGTCCCACTGATGGTTGGTACTGCACCAGCCGGGCTGCGGAGCATGTCTATGTATTGTGCTTTGAGGTTGTCAGTTGTTGCAGTTTAAAGTTTTATTTTTTTAAAAAAATATTCGTGGATCAGTCCCTTGAAAGTGCTTTGGCGTACTGCTGTAACAGCGTTAAGTTCAAAGAGACACTCATGTGCAAACAAAGCTACTGAGATAGGACGTGGAGTGTTCCCCTTTAATGTAGCTACTTAATTGGGATCTGCCAAAAGACGCTGTCCTACCATTACCATAACATATGTTTGCATTTTTGAAATGCAGGTATAGAATGCTCTTGTCTGGTGTCATAACAGAGCAGCTCTTCTGCTTAGTGATCTTTCTTACGACTCTGGATTTACAGAAATTCTTGTTTAATGTTACCGTTCTGACCATGCTGTTGACCACTGGCTGGTCTCTGTCAGTAACACCTTACCAAGTTCACATTTCATTGATTGCATGTGCAAGCTTCTGGATGCGTTTTCGTAACAAATCAGAGAGGCTTATGTCCCTGAAATGTCATACTGCCCAGCCACCTTTGGAAAAGCTGTCCACTGGGAACAGAAAAGGGGGATTCCCCCTGGCACGCAGTGCAGAGCACTTTTAGGGAGATTTCCAGCTATGCCCAGCAGTTTTCTGTCAGTTTTCCCCCCATTGCGGACTCAGAGGGTTTGACAGGCTGGTCTGAGTAGGCTTTACTTATCGATGGCGGCAGATTCAAGTGACCTCAGGGTCTGAGGTTTCTTTCTCCACTCTTCTGTGCTTGGGTGAGCACGTGACAGGCTGGTTCAGTGACTCTTTTGGGATCTCCTGTTGCTGGCTTATCTCTGAGTCCTTGCAGCTTGCTGAGGAGGTGGCCCAAAGACTTCGAGGAACTCCCAAATCCTCATAGGGTGGTGTATACGACTCTGCGGACAGAGTTTGGTTACACTTAGCCTGTTATTGCTCCTGGCTGCTACTGAGAAGAGTAGGTTCATTTGCTGTGGATCCACCTGCCCCAAATTGCCCACTTTCTCTTGTGTGCTTCTGCCATTTCCCTCATGTTCAATCCAGCAGGCACATGGTGGCTCACTGTTCCGGTAGAAACCCAACTCAGCTAGATCTGGTGAAGAGGATGCCAATGGATCAGCAAGCCAGAGAACTAGCAGAGCTAACAGACACCAGCCAGTTAAGGGGCCACGTTGCACCTTCCCTGGTCTTGTGATGATGTTTGCTTGCATTAGTGTTCGATATGCAAAGCCACCTTTGAAAAGCCCTTTCTGGGCAGATGGGGTAACATCTTACTTGTGAATAAGCAAACTTGTTCAGATGATGTAAATACGGCTTTTCCTGCCAAACTACTAGCAATGCCTAAGTGCGTCCAAGTCGTTACACCAGCCAGCGTAACCTTTTAAACCATGCAAGTTACAAGCTCCTTATTGCGCAGACATTCTGGTGAGAATGCCAAAGAGAGTTTGTAATCACCTCTTTCTATGAAATGAGCATGGTAAACTGCACAGACATGTTCTGTGGGACGGGCACCTGGTCCCAGCGCAGGACACTCGTGTACTGATACATCTGTCTGGCTTCGTGCAGTATTGCTTTACAGTAGGATTGAGTTGGCTACAGTGTCACGCTAGAAACCAAAGTGGTCCTACAAACAAGTCTCAGTTGTGGGTGATCCTGTTGATAAAGTAGCTCTACTTAGCATTACAGCCACACTGAAACTTCACCTCCACCCCTTTCTCCAAGCAGAGGGCCAGATTACAGCCCAGTTGCACTAAATACACAGGAGAGGGTGTATCCATGTGTTTACGGTAACCATGAAGACCCTCCCACCCAAAGCATTCCCCAGTCATGCCCAGGAACCACCTTTCCTGAAGGTACCAGGCAAACAGGTTTTTACAGGGAAAAGATGCACAACACAGGACATGTACTACTCTGCGACACAGTTGGTCCCAGCAGAGGTGGTGAGTACGTCACTCCAGGGCTTCATTAAAACATCAATGATTAAATCAGTCATTCTCCTTATCGACTGCTTAAAAATTGCTTTTCACTGCTTTTTGAAAAAACCCAGACAACCCAGCAAGAGCAAAATAACAATGCTGAGCCTTTCTTTTGAGTGTTTGCTATTTGTGTCAGTTCTCAGAGGACCTTCCCAAAGGACTGAGATTAAGCCCATCACATTTTCCCACAGCCTCCTTAATGGGTGATCTGAAAATCACATATGTAGATAGCAATTCAGCCGCAGGCACCAGGCAGAGATGAGTCAGGACCACACTGACTGACGTAGACATGACGCAGATCTGGCGTATACGCTGGCTTGGGTCTCAAGTCCAGGTCCAGTCTCTCCAGATCATCTCTCCAGGACCTGGCTCAGGCTACTTGTGCCATTACTGACTCCCTGGCTACAAAGCCAGATCGCACTCCTAAAACCAGGCCCACCCAGAAACATTGGTATTAGAGGACACTAAACTGCTGCTCGATGCCTCAGGCGGTCCTCCTTCCACAGCACAGGGGTGGGCATTTAACAATCTTCTTTTCTCCCCGCTCCTCAAAAAGGGAAAAATAAGATTCCTCCAGTAGACGGGAGGAATTAAGAAAAGGCTCTGCTGCGTACATCTCCTTGGAGCAAGGGCTTCTTCTTGTTAACATTTTGGTGAAAGCGTTGAGCACGCACTACATTGAGTTTTGCTGCTCTTGTGCAAACCGCACTGTAATCGCGAGCAGTCCTGCCTCATCTGGACAGGGAATCTGGTTTTCAAGGGAAGCACAGCTGAGAAAGGCTTCAAACAGGATCTGATTAGCTGATTAAAAACAGATGCTGTGCTGGCAGACAGGCTGCTGCAGATCATCTGATACAATCCCCTTCCCCTCGTTTTTGTACATAATGTCCTTCCAAGCAAAGCCACCTCCCCCATAGCTATGTCTAACTTGCATTATGAATCTTGGCACTTTTTCAGTTATACATGTTGTGAATAGTTTTGCCATTTAAAATATTTTAGAGGGGCCGTAGTGTCAAGTGCTTGACTGCTTATCGGAAATCCACCAGGTATTCAAAGGAGGCAGAGGCCATGCTGCAGGGGGCCTGGGGCTGCAGCATTTTTAGCCCTGCCGTCCTTAACCTTCACAGCAGCACCTTCCCCCCTTCTCTTAGAGGAAAGGGCTCCATCAACTCTGGGGCCAGGGGAGGAACACCCTTCCCACCACTCCACATGCTTTGCTTTGAAGCATATGAGCTAGGAAGGCTCTGCATCCCAATACTGAGGTATAAAACATCTTTCATTCAGCTTTGGGAGGTAACAGCACCTCACAGCAGCAGGTTTGCTCACTTGTCACTGCTCCGGTGAGGCTCAGGGCTGCTTTAGCTCATCCTAGTGCCGAGGCTGCACATGACTGGTCTATGTACTCCATAGTTTATTCCCTCTAACTCAGGACTGATTCTTTCCCATGGGAGACTGAAGAAAATCCAGTGGGCCTGTTGCCTTAGGAGTACAGGCTAAGTAGTGGTGTTCACCCTCCTTGGCAGGGGAGGAACACACAGTGAGTTGTTCCAGATAAGACTACGTCTTACCCTCTTCCCCAAATGCAGCTGAAACACTTCCCTCAGTCTCCCCAAGACTGCACTTACTAGCAGAAGTCACTGGGATCAGTTCCTACTTAGCCAGAATCAACATATAATATGCTTAGAGGTGCAAACAAGTTTCAGATTGGGACTGTTCATTCAATTGCCTGATCACAGATGTACCAGGAGATTCATCCCAGAGAGGCCGAGGAAAGGGGGTAACTCCTTTTGCTCTTGTTTTTCAGTTTGACAAAGGAGAAGGGTTATATCAGCTTGTTGACTAGCAGAACCATCTAAATTAATTTCACATGGAGTGTCTGGTCTCAGCAGTGGGATGCTAATCCTTTGCAGCCACATATGTGCTCAGGGACAGGCTAGGGAGAAGGCCTAATCTGGTGCAAAGCTGAGGCAACAGAGGCATATACGATAGCAAAATCAAGCTTTTAGGCTACTGCTGGGGAAGAGAAGATGCCAGAGAAATGCAGCAGCTCTGTTTTCATTCTAGGATCTTGTAAGCAGGAGAACACAGGAGAAGAAGAGCCCAACTTCAAGTGTATGTGGTAAATTCACACCGGCTCAATGGCCTGTAGAAAGCTGACATTCTGACTTTGCTTGCAATTTCTTGCCACTTCCTATTCCCAACAGCATCTGGTTGAGTAACAAGCACAAAACACAACAGGAGGAAGAGAAGCAGCCACTAGATACTTTACCTTTCACGGCTTTGGCAATTGCTTCAAACTCCAGCTTGGCCAAATGACAAATAAGCCAAGATACTTCGAGACACCTGTCCACCGTCAGGCATCAGCTTGACAGACTCCGGCTCTTAAGACACCTAACTGTAGTGTCAGCAAGGGAATATAGGATGCTTTCAGAAGAGGTGTGGCCAGTGAGTACCTAAGCACCATATCTGAGTCCCATTGACAACAACTATGTCACTCTACTGTCAATGTCACACAGGGTGTTACAGTGGTAATAATGACACTCATCATCACACTAATACACTTCCCTGTAGAGACTCCCCTCCTGAGCCTGCAGATGGTGTGAAATAGGTTTAAGCAAGGCAACAAGGCCTTCATCAGAACTTTTAATTCTGCAGTGACTGCATGGGGTAGGGGCGTTAAAATGCACACAGAGTTATGACATACACAGACTGCCTCCCTGGCCTCTTCAAAAGGAAAGCATTGACCTAGGGCATGCCAGTGTTTATCTCAGCTTAAACCAAACGCAGTTCAGCTGGTTTAATGCAATTTTTTTTCATATTAGAATTAAACAATTAAACATTTTAATAGCAATGAATAACCTGAGCGCTTCAATGATTTCCCCCCCACACCTTCCCCCCACACTGGCACTTAAAAGTCTCCCTTAAAAAAAAAAATTGGTAAATCGCCACAATTCCAGACTCACTGGAAAATGCAGGATTTTTGCAGCACAATGCAGGTCTGTCTTGCCACTGAGACTTGGGTAAAAAAAAAAAAATTAAAGGAAAGTCTTTCAAGGGAAAAATACACACAATAAGATGCAAAGTGCCAAGATCTCCTTTTTGCTTTGCAAATGCTCTGGAGGCAGATTCGCACTCGACTGAGCCAAGTCATTTCTTAAAATGACTGGACCAGCGTTTGAAAAACGTGCAGACTGAGTCCTAAGAAGCACTGTTTAGGTTTTATGACTCTGAGCCATCTGTAAGGTAAAGGGACAGAAACCATCTAAAAACTGTGAAGCTGAGAGTTCGTTTTTCGCAATACGCTCTGAATCACCTTTAATTTTCCTGTTAAGTGGATGCTGGCTATTCTGCAACAGCCCCACTGAAAATGCCATGGGTGTGAAAAACAGCAGATGGTTACTGGGGGTGGAAAGCTATACAAATCATTAGAGAAGCATGGAAAATTCATTGCTGGCTATAAAAGTCACTAGACAAGGGCAGCTGTAAACAGCTACGTGAAAAGAGGAGGTAGGGACACGTGGTAGCAGCAGTCTGTGCAGAGCAGCTATTTCCTTCCCTCAAAAAACACCAGAAAGGGGCTGAAAGAATCACATGTGAACGACCATAAGGTGCAACATTCCCAAATACAAGCAGCAAGGTGGTTTTCTCTGTGCTACAGTTTCCAGCTTTTAGCAGCACCTCACATCTAATAATGGAATCACATAAGGACCCTGGGGGACACTTAAAAAGCAAAACCACTTGCTTTTTAGATGTTGTATAACCATCACTGTTAAACCCCAGCCAAGTGATTATCTTAATCTGTAACTGACATACCAACATGCTGAGGATATGTGGAGTATAAACACAACATTAAGCCAGGAGGCCAAGGTAGGAAAGAAAGGAAATTCAGTACAGCCCATCCTTCACTGCACTCTGAATTTCCAAAAGCACAAACTCTCAGACTGCAACACAAATTCTGTTGACGTGTAATTAGATGACCATGGCCAAGGGAGGACTTTTTTCCTGTTTATCTCAAAAGTTCACAGTATCTTTACACAGAAGAGAGATCTATTTCCAATCAAGTCAATGGGGGTGAGTAACCACCTTCTAGGACAATCTCATGATGACTTTTGCTTATGCTTGAAAAAGGTAGTTATTGCAGAAGTGGCAGAACAGAAGAAGACTGAAGCTTGGTAAAGAGAGAGTAGCAGATGCAAGTCAGGGCAGGAAAGCAGCTAGAGTGAAAACATGAAAATCGTATCATCATTTTCATACTCAGTACTGTTGTGACATTCTTCCTACCAGGGATTCCATCCTCCTGTATTTAGGATTGCCATCCCTGGTTATGTTTTACATGGGAGCCTTCTCCCTCCTCTCTTAGCTTTCCACCAGCAGGATGAAAAACTTCACCTCCAGTTCCATAAGTACTCTGTGGCTGAGCTCTCTTACATGTATTGTGTCTGTCAAAAAATCAGTGAGTGTCAGCGTAACAGGAAATAAAAGGGATGCAGATATCTCTAAGAAACAATCTCTGCTACCAGAGGTTGGGGTTGGAGTCACCATTTCCCCCTCCCCTCCACACGTACTTCAGGCAGATGGCATTCATTTATCGTACAAACACATCTGGCCACGTCAAAGGAGAACATAAACAACTATAGTTAGAGAAAAGAAACCGCAAATGCTTTTCAATTTTATTCTTACTGGGAGGGTAGTGGCATCCTGACATGTCACATCATCCAATGATAACTGACAGTGACTTTTTCAAGGCTCCTAGCTCACCTTAGCATTTACGGTACCAAGTCTTGCAGTAATCTTGGCTTGGCTGTAGTGCTTTGTTCAGCCTGCAGACATGGCATTCCCAATTCCAGATACTTTTGCTGGGTCAAGACCAAAGTAATTAGCAGTAACAGAAAGGGAAAGTAACCAGACTTGAAACACAGAGACCCTGTGATGAGTGCTTTTGATGGATTTCCCAGAAAAGCAAGTCTGATCAGAAATAAATGCAACAGCTTAAAAAAAAAAAAAAGAACAAAATAAAATGTACCTAGTGACCTTTAAATCAACTTTTCCATTGGATAAATATATTTGAAATAGTTGTACAGTTCACAGTGGCATAAAGTTCTCTGATTGCTTGAGTGCTTGAAAATATTTCATCAGTAAAAAAATACCAGAGCTGGGGGAGGAAAACCCTCTCTCTGAATTCTGTACATGGGCAAATGCACAGGTTTTGGCAGGCATCAGGTCATTGGATCCATGGGAAACCAGCAGCATCGCAGGACTGCAGATCACAAGTCAGGGGATGGAGGATAAGAAGAATAGTAAGGCCCATTTTCCTGCAATGAGAACAGAATGAGCAGTTGAACAAAAGTCTTCTCCAATACACCTTGGTGCAATGGATGATGACAGAGAGGCAGAAATAAACAGGCACTCATGGCTTTGTCTTCTATGAGTACAGTGACTGCCACAATTCACCCGTGAGAGCACCGTGCTGGCAACCAGGCAAAACCAGGCCTTGGTCTTGCCTCTGTTTTAAGTGAAAAGTGCAGGTTAAAACTTTGCCATTAACCTAAAGCTGCGATGCAAGGAAGCCACAAATGCATAGCCTGTCACACAGTTCAAGACAAAGTTGCTTACACAGACATGCAGCTCTGGCTGTTACTGTGTAGTTACAACACATCCTCTTTGGAATGATCTGGCCAATGCAAGCCATATTCATTCCACTATTTGGGTAGAGACCTGGGATGGAGAAGGGAGGAGGAAGAGGGACTAACACAAAAGGCAAGGCACCCTGCTACAGTTACATTTTTCCCCAACATTGTTTTGTTTTCTTTCCTGCATGTTTGTTGATACAGGGGGCAGGGAAGATGAAAACAGACATAGCATTTTTTTTTCAGTCAGTGTAAGGTGTATAGCAGGTATATAACATGAATTTTATCTTGTCCACGGCTCTTAATGCATTATGTTACATTTCTTGGCTGAAGAAAGGTAGCCTGCCTTTTATGCACATAGGAGACTGCTCTACTGGGAAAGGAGTCTGCTTCTTGGCCAAGCCCTCCACTTGGACTGATCAAAGAAATTTAAGAAAAATTGTTATTGACAGAAAAAAAAAAAGCCTAGACTCTCCATAAACCCTCCCTTTCTTCTCCCTGTTCTTAAGATGTGGAAGACAGCCCCTTTAAAGTTAGTGCAGAGCACAATGGGACATGCACAAGAACTACACTTAGGAGCAAGCCTGATGCTTGCCACATGAGGTCACTTACCCTGGCATCATACTCGAGGACGAAAGGGGGGAGATCAATCTGTTCTGGGGGTATGGCTGCGAATAACTGCTGAAGGCTTTCCACATAGTGGATTTTGTCCTTTAGCCCTGAGACTGTAAAGGTTGTGAAAAACCATGCTGAGACCTGAAAATAAACCCCAACAAAACCAAATTAAGACGGTGCTGTTCCAAAACCTTCAAGTTCAACATAATAACCTACAGTTAAAAAGGCTTGAGTTAAACTTGAAACACAAATATCATGGCATCAACGCAACGAGGTCAGGAAGTACACACCGCTGACTGATAGCAAGTGCTGCCTTGACAGCTTTCAAGCTAGCGCTTTCCGAATCCACGCTCCCTCCTCCCCACCTGCCAGTTTAAGGCCCCTTTCTACTGCACAAAGAGCAACAGCTATTCTGCCATTTGTCTTCAGAAAACCATCTGTGTAGCAGCACATTTTCACTTCCAGTTTAGCCAGCTCAGAATATGACCTATTTGACTCTGTATCTGACAGAAGGATTTTCAACCCCTTGCCTTGCCTTCAAGTTTTCACAGAAAAAGCAATTTAAGGGAGAGAAAGAGAGACACTTTTGGCTGTTTAAATGTCCTACTGCTTTGGGTCGGCTGTTTTACCACATTTCTTATCAAAGCCGTATCATCTAATTCTGCAAGAATAAGCCTTACCAGCTTATTCTACAAGATTTTACTTTAAGTATACACACCTCTGTCTCTTTTGGATGCAAACTGCAAAAGAAAAATTCCTTATGCTAAGGCCAGTAAGACACCTTTGATACTTTTTACAAGTTATTAAATATTCCTGCTTAGATTGACTGCATAAGCTTTTACTTTTCAACCCACCTTCTCCAAAATTAAGCACTATTTTACTTTTTATTTATTTTTTATCTAGTCATTTCCTGGCAGACTGGAGGGAAAGAAAACACACTCATGAGAATCAGAGGTTACTGTTCTACAGGTCACAAATGCTCATATTAGGGACCACTCACATGGTCCTGGGCAACCAGCACTCACTGGCCCTCCTTGAGCAGGGGGGCTGGACCAAATGACATCTAAAGGCCCCTTCCAACCTCAAACATTGTGATTTCTGTCCAATAGCTGTACTCTGACTGCAGTAAGTTGACAGAAAAGAAGCAACACCACAAGAAAAGCCTTGAGAAAAGTGGGAGTTTCAAATAAACCAAAACATCATTCTGCCTGAATACAACATTTAAAGAAAAACCTCAATAACTAAAAACTGTCCTGGAATAACTATACTGCCTCCTCAAAATGATGTATTTTCATGAGAAAGGAACAATGACAAAGAGAAAAGGAAGTAAAGGACAGAACATTTAAGATCAGTTCATTATTTTAAGGGCAGAATTAGAGATTTATGTTAGCATAAAGCAGGGAGAGACTATTACTGGCATCCATTACTTACTACATTTTTCTTATAAGTGACACTGAATGATAGTTTAATGAGTGAAAAATACCCTCTCAATCCTGTACCAAAGTAGCATGCGTTCCAAGGCATATTATGAATGACAATCACTAAACATAATTGCTATGGATGTTTAATGCATAAAAGTCTAAAGAGGGAATATTTTTGCAGCCATCATGAAAAGTCATACCAGGAAAAATGATTTTTATACCCCCCCCACCCCCGCCAGTATACAAGCCATTGCAGTTTGACACATCTTGCCCAGTAACGCAGAAAAAAGGGAGGGGGACAGAAACATTTCAAAAGAATTTTTCTATTATGCCCATTCTCAGTAATCACAGGTTATAGGAACAGTAGTGACAGCTGCCATTTTCTTATTGTAAGAGGACAGAGAACTTTAAATTAAACCAAATCCCTGTTAATGCATTGAAAGTAGAGTAAGTTACAGCCGAGCAGTTAAAAAAAGTTAAAAATCTAGTAGTCTGCTGAAGTCTTCCTTCATTTTTCTTGAACTGCAGTTCTGAACAAAAACCGCACACAACACAGATAAAGCGTGCCACTAGTCTCTTAATTGGGTCATACCCCAAAGAGAAACTTACTAAAATCTGGGAAATTTTATTGCAATTGGAAGGATCTTGTGCATAAAAAGCCGTGATTTGCAACAACCTGGATCTCTGGAAACTGCTTTTATGACTGTTACAGAAAAGCAAGACAGAAATTGCTCATGATAAAGATTATGATGATTATGAATATTTAATTTGAGTATTCAGGTATGTTTCAGTTTTGAAACATTCTCGGTTCACAGCCAAGTTACTAAGTTTATGAAAACAGAGTTTCTCAGGGTGAGATTGTTTCAGATCCAGCCACTGATACTTCACTTGGAGCACACCAAGCTCTATAAAGCTTTGTTTGGAGAGCTCTCAGAACAGGGGAGCCGAGAGGCTTCACACAAAAATGCCCCGAAAAGCCCTTTATTTATATATCAGCAACCATAGCAATAACAAGCAGAAGTACATTTACATGCAAGGGTAAGAAGAAACTTCTGATAGCACTTCAAGGGTATCTTAATCTAAGTCCTGGTGGTGAAGCATTCACACTGCAAGAGTTGCTGCCAGCCTAAAAAACTTCTGTTGCCTACGATACATTTTCATCATAAGAACGGTTACATTTCAGCAGCACTACAAGAGAATCAAGTTCTTCACAGATCACAAGAATGCTCACACTGCAGCATGAAAAAAGGAGGATTAGTGTACAAAACCAGATCGTGCACTGACAACACCTGCTTCAGTTACTCTGTGTTTTGGGAAAATAATCTGGACAGGCAGTTATCCTCAGAATACACCTAATTTAAAAGTTTCAGGTCTAGAAACAAAACAAAGAATCATTGTTGGCACTACAAAGCACTTTCAGAACTATGCTTGTTTTCTAGGGGCACACAATTTTCCAAAAGGCATGACAAAAAGCCTCTTGATCCCTTTTAGCCCAGAAATAAGCAATGCGACACCTAACAGATGGCAGACATCCACTGTGCCAGGATTCAATACCACAGTAAAATGGACCATTGATATCAGAGATTTAAGAATGAGATACATGTACCAGAGCAATGGTTTTGGGAAGCTGCATGAATGCACAAGCCTTCCTCCTACATTTGAGACATGGGGTATTCTCCTCTATTTCTAGGGAAGGAAGTCAATGCTCCAGGTAGGAAGATGGATGTACCAAACATTTTTAAAGAGATTTGACACTTCTGGGCTAGCAATATTCCACAGGGACAGCCACCCTGAAATAGCCAAAAAGGAAGGGGAGAGAAAAATCATTCCCTCCTAGCAGCCACCTTCTCCACTGGGACTTTCTGCTGCACATTCCCCATCATGTTTCATAAGCTGATTGTCTCTGCAACAGCCAGCAGCAATCCCACTTGCCATACAGTTAGAGAAAAGGCTTGGCAGAAAGACACAGACACATGTCCTCTTTTGCCTCCAGCTGTGGTGCTAGAACAGGATACAAACCAATTCCATTTCCAGCAAGTTAGAGTTCTGTGTCTCTCACCCTCCCTGCTTCCCACCAACTATCTGCTTGTCCCACAGATCTGTCGAGTCCCTGTGCAGTTCCCAAAGAGACAGGAGAACATGGCAATGGACTGAACACAAGTTCTCATACTCCAACAAAAAAATCCAGTTCTTAACCAAATAGAAATGCATGGTAAGAAAGGATGGGGATAAAATGCTGCTGGGAATCTAAACCACTAGTACTTCTTAGCTTCAACTTTTCCACTCAACTTTGTGACCTTAGTAATGTTCTACGCCAGCTCTAACATTTTCAGGAGCATCAGAGCTGGAAGCTCTAATTCTAGCGCTCGGACCTCAGATCTATACCCTGTGGGAATAATTAATATACTGACAGAAACTGGAAGGTATGTTGTTGGGAAGATCTACATAAAAACAAAGAAGCCCTAAGTGTCACGTTGCCCCAGCTGTGCACACGAAAAGAAAGGACTCTTTGGAAATGTAGTAAAGAAATTCTTGCTGAACATGTGCAAACAGATGTTTTTTGCAGGCGTATTGCTTTCTCAAATTTGATCAATGTCAGCAAAAAGCAGAATAAACACAGAGGTTAATCTGATGTGAACACTGAGGATCACATTTCTAACTGTTTTAATAGGACAAACAAAAATTTTAGGAAGGGCTGCTGCTGACACTTAGTTCATCTGAAGTACTCATACTACTGCAATATGAGTAGCGTGTATAAAGTACAGAAGGGAGCGAGCTCCATCTTCTGTTGCCCCACACAGATCACAGTCAAGGATAATACCTTACTGCTTGATGAGTTCAGTTTTTCATCTCCTGAAGGCTCAACAGGATTTTTCTGCACTGCATGCCAGAGGCATTCCTCCCATCTTTCTTTGCTACTCTGCACTCTATGATCCTGACTAATCTCATTGCTGCTTGACACATTGCCATCTTCCCTTACCAGGGCAGCATTTCAGTGATATGCAGCACATATGCAATACCTCTTGTGGGGAGAGAAAAGGTGAAACATCCAGGAATTGACCTACACAAAAAAGAATTCTAAGAGTTTTTGGTCATGGTTTGTCATCCTGCCAACCAGACAGCAGGAAAAAGGACAAACTGTTTTTCTTTGAAAGAAGTGAGATCCAAAGCTTCCACCTCTCTCTGTTAAGAGCATATGCAAAACAAGGCGTAGACAGCTGCACTGCATTGGGGTTCAGCTTCTCACTAAGGTTAGAAGACTAAAGGTAGATCAAAGATGGGGATGAATTTCAACTTCTGACCCTGGATCCAGAAGATACTGCCTAATTTTGGAAGTCTTCTATATACCTCCATGTTCCTCATACTACAGTCTTACATGCTACCGTGCCAACACCCAGAAAATTCTTGTCTTTTGTACTATATACCTCACCTTTGAACGAAATGTTGGGTGGACAAAATACAGTGCCTTTAAGTTCCTCTTGTACCTGGTTTAAGGAAAGAAAAACACCTCTTTAAAAGTGACTTCTAATTAAGCTCATCTACACAACATGACAGTCAAAACATAGATAACTTTGCTTAAGTGCCTGTGATGTAATTTCACAAAGTTAGATCTAATATAAGGGCAGATACCAGACAAGTAAATGTAAGGGAAACAAAAAAAGCAGAATGATTATTTTTCAAGTAAAGATACCATAGCCTGCAGTCTTTTGTGTGGACGGTGAAAGTTTTGGACAAATTATGACTATCAATGTTACCCAAGCCTCTTCCCTCACAATTAGCAATATACTTTTAACAGTGCCAGCCTCCAGAAGCTCCACCTTTGGATAAAGACAGACAATACACCCAGTATGCCTCTATAACAGCTCCAGAAGGGAGATTGCAGATCACAGAACTTCCTGGTTTGATAGATGGTTCTGAGAAGGAAAGAAAACATATCTTCCTTCCTCTTGCCTTTGTTATTTATTTAGGTCTTTGTCCTAGCAGAACTCTTTCACAGATAAATGGGAAACCAGCTACAGGGAATGACAAATATTTGCACAGCAGAGAGGAAGACCAGAAGGGGTTCTTTTTCTATTGACACTCACTTGGCATCAACAACATCATAGAGTTTCTTCAAGAAATTAGAGTCTAGTTGATTGTAATCATTTGTGAGCGTATGGAAGTACACCAGGACATATTCTTTCACTGCAATATGATCCATGACATGGATGAAATACAGAAGAGCCTGAGACAGAAAGAAGTGAAATTTATATTTGTAAAGAACTCTTTCACAGCTGCATTACACCTTAATATGCTTCCTTTAATTCATTCACAACTCAGGAATCATGAGGCTGGGTGGCTTATGTTTCAGCTACAAAAGCAAGGTGAACATTCCAAGTCTTCAACTTGACTGTAATAACTTAGGGGTCTTTTTTTTTTTGCCTAGCTGATCTCACAGATGGCAATAAATTCTTGCTGTTTCCATGAAAAATGAAATTGACTTGTTACATTTCACTCTTCATGTCTTGGCAGTTAACAGAAGCAGGGCAAGCTCTTTCTTCTTGAGAAGAAACAGGAGTTCATGTTAGGCCTGTTTTTCCAAAAACAGCCCAGTTACTCCATGAAAAAAGCCACCACAACACATACAAAGCTTTGTAAGGGAATACATATTTATCTGCCTATAAAAAGTTTCTATTTAATCTCTTTTAAGTCTTCTACAGATAATGTTTCTAGTATTAATGCTGAATTACTCTTATAATCACTCTTTACATCCTGAACATCCATACCCAACCTACACAACTCTAGTTTTACAAAGCCTTACCTTTTCCATGTCTATCAATGTTACAGGGATATTCCTTCCAACCACCACCATCACTGTGCGGCCACAGTTATCTACACCTACAAGAGAAAGAAAAAAATATGTCTCTAAACTTCTCTCAGTCATGCTAGGTTTTGGAGTTGGTCCCTTTCAAATCAGGGAGAACTAGCCACAGCTCAGTTTTTGCAACGCATCCAGTTTCCATCTTAAAAACAGAATAAATACACTTAGAGTTACTGTTCTCACTATACCAGTGGCTATTCTGATCCAAAAAAGGGTGCATCATATCTGAGAAACTTAGGTCTAAGGACTGCAATTTTATGTTGTCTTTGTACTCCACATTTACCTAAATCTCAAGTAATAACATGGTTTTTATTTAAAAAAAAAAAAAAAAAAAAAACCAACCAAAAAACTTCACTTGCAGTTCTGCCACCAAGCAAGCTTCTTCCTAATAACCAAGTTCTGAAATCTAATGCACAGTTTCCCAAAGCATGCCTTATGGACCTCCCGCAGCCCACAGGGCCTTGTCTAAGGCAAACAAGAGAATTTAAAATTTCAGCTACAAGTATAAAGTTTCACAGAGCCTTGGTATTTCCATGAAGAATAAGGTAAGTATCTGCATTTTCAGGAGGCCAGAGGTATCAGTCTAAGCGCTAAACAGACCTTCTCTGCAGAAACACAGCTATGCTTTTGAGAGCCTGACTACTCGCCTGTTCTTTCCTGTCATGGTGCAAAGCAGCAATAAGCCACTGGGACTATGGCAAGTTTTTACATCTGAGTATGATGCTACCTAAAGAGTAAAAGTGAACTGAAGAGTACAGGTTCCACATCTCTGCTTCCCAGGCTGCAAGGACCTTGCAGCTATCTTCTTTCACTGAACTCGCCATTAGGTTTTTGAATCTCTTCCTAATCTCCCCATCTACCGAGCTCAAGGTTGCAAGATGTGCTGCCCGTGGTACTTGGCCATTAGTACTATGAGACACACAAGAGAGGAGAGCAACACATACCTAACCTGAGAGAAATAAAGCAAGATATTTTGTTCCAGAAAGCTGTATTAAAAATTGCTTTGCTAACTGCTTATTCTCTACACTAATCATCTGAAAGCAACATTCATTTCTTTGTAACAAAAGGGTGGAGATAGTTCTTCTTTTGGTCTGGATTATCTCATACAGAGCACCTTATGCACTGGCTTAATCTAACACTACTGATTTACATCTAAAGCTACAGATAATTCAGGATACGCACGTACCCTCAGATTGTTAAAGCCGAGCAGTCTGGAAGTTTACCACACAGTCTTTCAAATACAATCAAGAGAGAATTCCTGCTTTACTGCAGAGGTGTTGCCTAGTTCTTGGCCAGACTTCTAACTTAATAACATGATTTATATACTCATGTCCAAAGAAAATACCGTATTTTTATTTTGTATTTTACTTTAAGACAATATACCTCAGTCATTGGTACTCTCAACTTACCTGTCTGATACAAGGCTTTAAGAGAAGCAATATCAGAGAGGTCTTCAGCTCTTGCCTGACACAGCCAGCGATTATAACTAGAAAATTAAAAACATCTGGTCAGATCTAATCCCCCTTTGGATTAGCATTAGAAGCCTGAAGAAGTATATGGGAAGGGAAGGACAAAATAAACTCTTTCTGACTAAGCCCTCTCTCTAATGTTGTGGTTTTCTGACCTATGGAGCAAGTATCAAGTTGTTAAAGTAGTACTTGGGGGAAAGAAAAAAGAAGAAAAATATTTGAGTGTCTTAGTTGCATACCTAGTGATTTTCAGTAGGGCAATGAATACGCACCAACTAGTAACTACAGTGGCTTTGCATTTGGGCTGAAAAGATCTCAGTTTTTTCCATTTAGATACCTCAGTGTTTAAAAAAATAGAAATAAAATAGAAAATTTCTTTAAAAAGTCTAGAAGTCGAACACAACTACACAGCAACCAGTGTCACACATGGAGGTTTTTTTCCCCTCTTTGAATGGTGAACAACTTAATGCTTCATCTGACAGAACAAGCCAAGCGTCCTGCCTCAAGAGGACTCCAGTGTGGAACTGGCTTATAAGAAAGTGATCATGCACATTAGGGTTAGCTGGGGACAGGGAGGAGGAAAAAAGCCTCAGCATTCATTCATCTTTCTGTTTTGAAAGATGGAAGAAAAATGTTTTGCTATCTGCCCAGAGCCCTCAGGAGCAAGTGGGCAGTACTGAAAGCAGGTGACCCCACTACAAAAAGCGGTGACAAAACAGTGACATCTTGTGGCAAAGGGATAAGGCAGCTGGTCGGATGCACTGGGTATGCTAGTGGGTTCATCACTAGCTTCTCTTTTCCTCCTACTCCCCCCCTTCTTTCACCCATCAGGCCAAAGAGGCTACCACAGCAATCCAGGGTGACACCAGGCTTTATCTGTATTTCCTTGCCAGAAGATTAGGCTTTACAGATAACAAGGTTGGTCCTTACAGACAAGGGTTGGTCCTCTGAACAGCTAACTAACACAAAACATTCACACCAACAAGGAAATGCTCACTTCCTCTGATGCTGTTTTTGCAGTGCTGCTTCTGACAACTGTCCCTGAAGAATGAGGCGTCTCTGTTTATCAACATCTCCCTCCATGCGGGCAAAAGCATGGGAACCAATGAAAGACAAATCTGCCTCCAGACCCTCTTCATCTGAAGCATCTGCAGTAGAAACAAAGGCAGTGTAAAATGTTCAAGCTGTGTACAAGACAGCAATGCTGCTGATGAATTGCTATATATCTCAGTGAGCCAACCCAGTTGTCATGCTACAAACTAACAAAAACCCATAATGTACCATGACATGTTTCTGTTACGCCACCAGTACCACTGAGATTATGACATGTGATCAATAACTACAGACTCCCTTAGAATGTTGGTTTGCCTGGAAACTAACTGGGTAAGTCCTTGTCATCAACTTGTAATAAAGGGATAATGGTTAACTCCCTCAGAAAATAAGGTCTGGAGAGACTTGGGCTTTACGGTTGTCCTACTTGTCACAGGGAGAAAAATAAGTATGCAGAAGGACAGATGCTGCAGATTTACTCAGTTCAGAAGCTGTTCTGTAGAAAGGGCTCACTTCTTTTTGTATCATTGACACTGCTTGAACAGATGCCGTAGAGCTGGTGGTAACCCGAGTTTGAATATTTTCATAGTATTGTTTACATCATGACTGTGCGATGAAGCACAAGAGCACAGGCTCACTTGCTGGTGACAATCACAGAATGCTCCACTGAACTTGATGTCATCAAGGAATCTTGCTAAGGCTTCTAGCACTACCTCTCTGGGCAATCTGGATGGGAATCAAGTTTCCCAGTTTTAGTGTGACATGCTGTAGTAGCAATGGGACAAAAGTGCAGGACTCCACTATATCCATTTGCTCCTACATATGCAAAACCAGTAATTTTACCAATTATTAGCTAGTGGTTGAATGCCTCACACTGATCAGACACAGCTGCAAATACCACTCTAACCAGCAGTTTGGACAGGGGAAAAAAAAAAAATTGGAG